TTTTTTTTCATAAAAAAATTGTTTTTTTTTTAATAAAAAATTTTTTTTTAATAATTTTGTTTTATTTAAAATAATTTTTTTTATAAAATTTTTTTTATAAAATTTTTTTAATAAAAATTGTTTTTTATAAATTTTTTTTAATAAAAATTGTTTTTTATAAAATTTTTTTTATAAAAATATTTTTTTCTATTAAAATAATTTTTTTCTATTCTCAATTTTTTGTTTGTTTTTATAATAATGCAAATAAAAATGTTTACTTTTCCTGCCCTGCAATGGCTGTAAATTATCACAGTAACCGAAGTTGCTGAAATGATTTAGTGCAAAACCCATTTTTTTACTGATTAAGTGTATCGGAAGCAACTAGTGAATAAGTGAGAAATAAAAGAATTACTTAGCTCTTAAGATATATCGTTCAATTTGATGTGTTCGTCCTTTGTGACTATAATTCCACGCATATAGATGAGTCAGTTTTAGCACTATATTATCGTGCTCATTGTTAGCATATTCTATTAATTTTTATTTATTTTAACTTTTTTAAATTCTAATTCTTGAATTGCACAAAATTTATTTCAAGTAAAATATAATATAACTAAGTAAATAAAAATATTAACTAAAGGACCAAAATAGACAACGTTGAAATTTGAAAATTACAAAAAAATAAAACGATATTACTAGCACTCGCCCACAGTGACATTGATCTACGTTTATGGCTGTAAAATTCATTGAATATTCGGCAGCAGGCATGTTTTGTGATCTTAAACATTTTTCTTGTACTTTAATTATTATTCTTTTTCACAACACCCATTATTGCAATTACTTAATTGTGACACATAGCAATAGTTTAAGTAAATATATTTAATTTTTGTTGTTTTTTGAAATATTCACATATTACAATAGCATATAAATAAATATACAAGATAATACATACATATATATATATATATATATATTCTATAAATAAATTAATATTTTTTAATTTAGCTGTTTGTATATACAGAGTACATTCATACATAGTAAACATTGAAATAAAAAGTAAAAAAACCGCCATAGGCACCAAAAAAAATTTAAAAGAAATAAAACATTAGTAACTGTATAGTTTGAAATAAAGCAAATTAAAATAAAATAAAAAACCAAAACGGGTTAAAGGAAACCGTAATAATTTGTGGTTTTTTATTTGTAAGCTCTGTACGCATATTTATCGGTGTGGTCGCAAGTGAAGCGCTTCTCTAAGGTCGTGTAGGTGCGTTCAGTTTAAGAATATCTTTTAGTACTTTCAACTTTTCCATAACCTTTAAAAATGCTTAGTCTTTTCCGCAAAATATGTTTGAAGGCCTTCATTTTGTGATCGTTTTAAAGTAAACAACAACTTCTTACATAAATAAATATCTTTATATACCATATGATAAAAATTGACCCGGACTGGTCCATATAAATTGCGCGAGCAAAGCGAATCGTTAAAAAATGTTCCTAGCTGGTTACAGCCTTTTTTTATGTTCATCTGCAGTTTGATCACCATATGTCAATTAGTGTGTGTTTTGCAGCTGTTTGTTTCCGAAGCCAAAGGTTTGTCTAGCGATTTCTGCCACGGTAAAAAAATTGAACAACGAGTTGTCTTGAAATTTTGTGTTTCCTGTGGAATCACGGCTACAGAATCGTTGAAAATGCTATAGAAGTGTTTTGGGTAGTCCACTTCAACATCAAAACGAGTATTTGAATGCCACTAAGCATTCAGTGAAAGTCGTGAAGTCATCAAAAACTTGCCTCATGCGAATAGTCAATGCACCTCGGTTAATCGAAAAGTTAAAAAAAATCCTCATAATGCCATAAGAGAGATAGAAGAGGATCTCAACATGTCTTATGGATCGACTTAACACATTTTGATCTATGGTTTGGTTATTAATGGTTTTAGTATGAAGCGTGTCGATGTTATAATCGTACCAAAAGACTTGAATCTATAGCAGAAACATCGACGAGTAGAGGTCGCAACAGAGATGCTTAACAGCTAGTTGAGAGAACGAAATGGGATCAGTCAAAAAGTTTTTTTTTTAATCTTCTCAACATTTTTGGCTGTTTAAACTTGTATCTTTCAATAGCAAGTTTTTAAAGTTTTGCATCACACAGGTTGGACACCAAAAAACGCAACCGCACTCGAAATCATTGAGCAAGTTCATAATATTGTTAGTGAAAATCCAAGTTTGACAAAGCGTGAAATCGCTAATGCCATAGGCATCTCAGACGAACGAGTACTACATATTTTTTATGGAGAATTACATATGAAAAAGCCGTTTGAAAAGTTAATGCAATTCAACAAAAACTGGATCGAAAACAAATTTATCAGCATAACTTTTGAGCAGAATAAAATCGATTTCTTGCGTCGTTTTATAACTATGGATGAGACTTGGATCTACCACCATGATCCTAAAATGAAACAAGAACGTTTACAGTGGACTGAAGCTGGTTGTTGCGGTCCAAAGCAGGTGAAGTCACAACGATCAGCAAAGAAGGTTATGTCATCAGTTTTTTGGGATGCAAAAGGAATTTTGCTGATTGATTATCTGCCGAAAGTTAAAACAATCAACTCTGAATATTATTGCAACCTTTTGAATCAGCTGGATGAAAAAATTCGTGAGAAAAGACCTGGTTTGCATCACAAAAAAATAATTTTTCATCAAGACAAAAAGATGCTTTAACAATGACAAAATTCAACGAATTAAAGTATGAATTGCTTGAGCATCCACCGTTTTCACCAGATTTGGCTCCCAGCGACTACTAACTCTTCAAAAACCTGAAACAATTTCTTCGTGGAAAGCATTTTTCGTCGAATGAAGAAGCTATTACAGGCGTAGACGAGTATTTTGCAGAGCCTCCGGAAAGTCATTATAGGGATGGCATAAAATTATTAGTGGATCATTTGAATAAGTGTATTGAAGTTAAGGGAGATTATATTAAATAAAAAAATATATTTCGTACCAAAAACAGTACTTTTTCATTTCCAGTGCAGAAACTTTTCAACCAACCTGTATCCATTGGCGTTACATCTTTTTGATTCTTTTAAACCATTGTTTTACACTAGAGACCCTTATAACTGGAACGAATTTACTAAAATTGAAAGTTCAGTCGATGCTTTGTCTTGAAAATACCTTTGAATCAACTATATTCCTAAAGATTATATTAGTCAAACAAAAACAATCCAAACTATTTTAAGTTTAAGGTCGTTTTTTACCCAAGGCTTGTATGAATGCGATCGGCTAAGTTCCTTATACTCCCCGCCCAATGGCAGAAATTATCATAAAATTTCGAATCAGACTCGGGAGTTTCTTTTGACCGCGTTTGTAGATTTTAGAAAAAGAAATCGCGCAAGGAAATCAAAGAACGCTTGAATGCTGTATTCTTCCGTTAAAAATTGTTTAAACGAGTTATCGGTCGGCTATCGTGGAGAATAACGGGATAACAGTCCGTTCCGAAAGTGAAGGAAAAAAGTGATGACCACAGTTTTCTTGTTTCAGAAGGTGTGAGGGCATAACGGTCACAGCGTTTTACTCTGTCGATTTATAAGGCATTTAGCGTAAAAAGGTTCTGTCATGTCCATGCCAATGCATTGGTTCACACTTTCACCGCTACGAACTGCTGCTCCATCCATCGCATTCTTCAGATTTGAACCCGTGCGACAGTTGGTATATAAAAAAAAAAACACTTTCAAATCTTAATCAACAACATTTTATTCTGCCACTATCTCAAAATACCACCTCTTTTGCTTGTAATTTATCGTTTCGCTTCTTCTCGAACGCTTCTCTCATATTCAGTTAAGCTTGTCCAATGGCCGTTTGATGCCATTGATCTCTCTTTTCATAAACTTCTTTCATCAATTCGTCGTATTCAATACCAGTCTGTGCTGATATAGAACGCACCGCAGCCTCCATCCTTTTGTCCGCCTTTTTATGCGGACAGGGCAAGAAATTGAAATCGTCGCTCTCCATAAGTTCGTCAATACGCCGTTGCTCCGCGTCAGTTACATTAATGGGTATTAGTTTGCGATCTACTAAATATCCAAATGGTAATGTTGAGCTCCATTCTAAATGCATTGGTAAGTCATGGACTTGGTCCTTTTCGTCATTCTCGGATGGTTCTTTCTGTACTCTTTGCTCCCGTTGTTCTAATGCTTCAAACGCTTTTGTGGGATTTATGGGAACGTAGAGACTTTTAGGATTATAATTATACTGATTTTGGGGCCAGCCAAATTCCAGATCGTAGGTGGTATACATTTTTTATTATACAAATATTATTAGTTTTTTATTTATTTTATTTAGCACTAATAATTTAGTTTCAGTTAAACTAAGCACCAATTAAAAAATACTTATGTATATTTTTAACTTTTATAAAATATATACATAAGTAATAAAAAATATGTTTGACATTGTGCTCCAGGGTGGCTATATTTTGTGCTTGATGTAACATAATGATCTAAAGAATTAAAAAATTCTTGGATGTTAAGTTAACCTCCTCAGCTAGCTCTCTTAATATACTCTTAGATTTGGTGATCGTATACGTTCTTTCTCCTAAAAATTTTGAGTTTTAAAGCAATGCTATTAAGAAAGACATGATTAGACTTAAGCTTTTACGTATTTTAATACAAATTTTTATTATTCCTTTAAAATAGGTTTCATTCCAATACAAGTGGTCCAACGTTTAATCCCATTTTTCATACACTTGTTATAAGTCTCTAGTGTGATGGCCTTCAGTGCCTTCAACGAATTTTTGTTTTTTTTTCGGTTCTGGTTCAGTTTTGGTGCGCAATTGGCTAGATTGTTGAACAGTTTAGACGTCATATGCGTTTGATCAATTGTCAAGCATCTCTTTTGACTAGTATTGACACGCTTTATAATTAAAACATTAACCAAAAGTGTTGAGTGGACCCACAAGAGATGTTGAGATCCTCTGCTATCTCTCTGATCCCCCCACTTAAAAAACAACATCGCTCTTTAACTTTTTCGATGTTATCATCATTAACAGGTGGAGGTGGATGGACGATTCACATGAGGCAACTTCTGCAACATTTTCAACGATACTTTTTGTTCACGGTAACACACTTTTCGTGTCGTAAGCAAAAAGCTGCAAAACACACACAAATTGACATAAAACCGGGTCAAATTTGATCAGATGGTATAGTTGGCTTCCTCAGCTCCTCAGATCTGGTTCTAAGTGATGCCAAGTCCTCCTTGGTTTTTCGAGAAAGGATATTACTTTTGCATTACCTACTAATTGATCAGTAATACTCATCGGCAATAGTGATTTGTCCGCCTGATTTCTAGACAGACAAATTGTCTACAGTTTCAAACATGTGTATCTTCACAGAGCTTTTTGCGCTGAAACAGGAATACGCTATTTATTTGACAAGAGGAAATATTTCGTACTAATCCTGTTTACCACAAAATCCATTAAGCTTGCTACCTTTGAGAGAGCAATCCTACTACAGTTGTTTAGTCCAGTGTACTTTCGAACTGCTCAAAGTCGAGCTTCAGGAAGACATTCTTCCTATTGCCGAGTGTGTTAATGTGTTACTCAATTTAATTAGACAAAGGCGAATAAGCTTTCTTGGGAATATCGGACTAACACCCAAATCGGTAAACGATGGGCTTTATTTTAAACTCTACAATAACTAGTTTTCCACTTGGTTCCTATAAAATATTTATATACATATATGTTTATATATAGTTGTTTCCATCCTCAGTGATTAGAACCCACGAAATCCACGATAAATTTAATGTATAGCGTTATCACACCGGGTACCTCTCTAGAAAGGCTAGTTTAACACTTCTATTACTTTGGTCCAACAATTATAGAAATTTATTCTCAGTTAGCAAATCTTGGATTACGTGGACCGACCTCTCTAAAACTAACACGAGAGCAAATATTTTTAATTCTGGATTTTTACTGTATTTTTTTTATTGATTTTGCTTAAAAGTATTGAGAAAACACGTATGAAACACAGACGCTTTTTTTTCTAGTGATTCCATAGAAACCTGTGAGCTGCACCTGGTTTCGTACATGTTTCTATATACTAAAACTTATTTATTTTCCAAAAACTCGTAACTAATATTCGCCTTTGTAACACTCTTTCTTCCCCTTATATGTAAAGTCTCCTCCGAGATAGTTTTTTCATTAAACTTCTAATGCTTTCTGTTTGTAAACTCATATGTAACATCTCAGTGAGCTTCTTCTTGTGGTCTCGTCACAGATGTGCTTGCCATTGATGCTTCTATACAATTGCGGATATGTCGCAGACATAGAATTTTCATAGAATCGATTTAATTTTAATTCTTCGCATTTTGGAATATTATTATCCTTTATGCCACGATGTTGTTCGGCTGTTATGTGTAAAGGTAGTATTCTCTCACGACACTGTGCGATATTCTTCGAATCTAGTCGTAACCACTCGGGCAATTTACAAGTTTCACATTGTCCGTGCGGATCATTTTTATTTGGTACATGCACATCGATGATAGCACATCTTCTGTACACATTTTCCCGTTCCCTCAAGAAAATTGGGTCTATATTATGGCGCGGCAATGCATGTGGTTGGTAGTCATCCCGATAGGTTGTCGTTCTGCACTCACATATGTTTTTGGCAATAGCATCATCCAGCGTTAAGTGATACATGCTGCGAATATTAGCGATCACTAGTTCCTATCGAATGTATAAAGAGTGTTCATAGTATTCCGGTTTTGCTTGATTTTGAATTTATATTTTGTCCATCGGTTATTTTGTGAATTTTTTTTGTTTATATTGTTTTGAGAAAGAAATATAATAAAGCTTCATAACTCCATTTTCATTTCAAACAAGGCTAATGTGATAAGTGAGAAGATGACTTGTGTAAGTGGTAAATATGTTAACTGCAGTTAGTTGTTACATAGTGTTACCTATCATTATTTAATCTTGCATTTTCGTCTCTACCATTTTTTGTAGAATGTTGCCCAGACGACGGTGCTTGGTAGCATAAAACCCGGATCCAAAAAGATAAAGCTCGAACTACGCAAGTAAAGAGTGTTTTTTAGGCGTGTGGTTTTCAATGATCCAATACTTTTTTCGGAGTTGGTCTTTTTGATAGCTATTACTTGATTTATACTAATTTTTTTTTTGCTTTGGCCATTTTTTGAATTGACCATCGCATCGCTTATTCGGCTACAACGAGATGGGCTCACCACCGATGCGATAAAGCTCACCTTTGGTTGAATGGCTACGTTAATAAACAAAATAGTCGGACTTGGAGTGATGATACTCCACAAGCCATTGTTAGGACGCCACGTCATCCCCAAAAAGGCACTGTTTGGTGTACTCTATGGGCAGAGGGAATTATGTGGAGGACCTCTGGTTCCAATAAGACGGCGCTACATGCCATACAGTTAACGAAACAATCAATTTATTTTCGGCTTATTTCACCTGTAGCTCGTCTCCTGGTCGGCCGAAAAAGTACAATGATAACCAAATTTTTTATATTGAGAATTGAAAGCATCGTAGAGCTTTTCTACTGTATCCAGAAAGAGGAAGTATAATTAGATTCGATTGAATTATTTAGGGTCGAAAGGAAGACCTTTTAGAATTGATGTTCTGCCGTATTTCTACACTGGACTTACTACTACTTCTCGAAATAAATTTTCTGATATTGAAAGTAGAAAGCATATAAATTTGCTGATAAGTTCTCTTTAAATTTCGGAACCAAAGCAGAGAGCTTTTCTACTGTTTCCAGATTGAGTTAGCAATATTAGATTAAATGCGCGAAGGAAAGCTATTAGAATCGATGTTTTATTAGATTTCCTTGAAGAAGTTCAACACACAGAGTTCAAATTTAAACATTACCAAGTCACTCCATTTTTCCCCAGTTTCAACTTTAGTTAATTAACACGAACATCAAATTTTATTTCCAAATTGAACAAGACAAAAAATTAAATGATATTCTGAATATCATATTTCATATACAATTTCGACTCAAAATGTTCCTCGAACCAACAGCACTAATACTTTACACTTTGCGCATTATAAGGACATGACCGTTGATAGAGTTCGCTTTGAGCTTGCGGCATTTTTTCATTTTCCGGATAGATGAATTGCCATGGTGAAAAGCGTACCTTATGATAATAATCACTGCGCGTTGCCGGATCCGCGACCATCTGAGCTTCATTCACATCTTTTTCATCACTCTTTTTCATCCAATCAAATTCCAATTGTTGTTCGCCTTTACGGATTTGTGGTTCGAAATATTGCGAACTGGGTGTTGAGATCCATTCCACTGTATTTGGACCATTGATATCCACTACGGCGACATGTCGTCTCCACGGTATACCGTCTCTGCATTGCGCCAGCCAATTATATGGTTTACTTTGTTGCTGATTCTGATTTTGCGCATTATTTGCGTTTGCATAATACAAAAAATCATATCGAACATTGTAGGGCTTAAAATCATTTTGATATGTTGTTTCCAAAGACATTTTTCAATAAGCCGCGTATTTTTATATATATAAATACTAATAATTTTTTAACATCCAAGCCACTCTATTCTAGTAGTCACACTAACGCCGCTGACGTATATTTTGTATAACAAACAAATTTAGAACTCAATCGTTGGGGTGTTTTTTTAGTAAAAAGGACGTTTACATAAAATTTATTATATTTACGACTTAAATGCTATGAAAAAGAAAAACTGAATGACTGAAATATATGGCATAGTTTCGTTTTCCGAACATTCTTCTTTTACATTTAACTTACAAAGTGTCTACTGCTTCTGTAAAGTAATTCCAAAACTAGACATAGGCAAACAAAATGTGCCAATTTAACGCTAGAAGACTACCTAGGTAACCACGCCGTAAGAATGTTTGATGTCTTCAATACTTAATGTATAAGCTACTTTGCTAACGACAACACAGTTCGACGACTCGGTGTATCCTTAGATCTTCTGCATTCGTCGCAATTTCATTTAAGAACTTCAATTTGTATTCCTTAGCTATCACCGTGTATTTTCTTTTCTTTTCCTTTAACAGTATCAAATAAGACCATATAAGTTAGTCACACATATAGGTTAAGTTTTTGAAAGGACAACGTCTTTTGTGAGGACCAAAAATTACTGAAGACAGACCAAAACTTCGCACTAAGAGTAGACCACCCCTTTAAAGCCCAGTAAACCTCTTAAATAATATCAAAGTTCGAACAACACCATTCCCACTATGCCGTCGTCTTCGATGACATTTTAAAGTTTTTGGAGCTCTTCTGTACATCATTTGCAATACTTACCTCGATAACATAAGCTTTCAGTTGAATATTCCACAACCTTTCTTATGATATAAGCGTGTCTGTCGGTGGGAATTATCTCCTATGGTCTCCTGAGACCAAACTCTTAATTCAGACCTGTACTGTCAACGATTGGACTGTCTGAAGGAACCAAACGCTCAAAAGCGGCAAGCTTTTGTTAATAAGGGATAGTGATCCGGCACCACACTATAGTGATCTGGCAGAAGTTCTGGGTGCTTGTTTGGAAGGTTTTTAAGCATCCGCCTTAGCATATACACCGGAACCAAGTGTTACTACCTGTTTATATCTATGGCGAATGATATTGCTATTGAAAAATTCGTCTCATGAGCTTCCGAAAATCGACTGTCCCGGTTTTTTTTTGTCAATAAGGACGGGAGTTTCTATGAGAGTGGCATTATGATATTGACTTCTAAATGGCACCAAGATATGAAACAAAACGGTGCATATTGATAAATATACTTAACATAACACATATATACTTGGTTTTACGACCTTAGTTTCTTTAGCTTAACTTTAAATACATGTATGGGGTAAATGGGATGCTACCCGTAGGGGTTTTTCTTTCGTTAATTCTTATACGATCCGCTTTCTGAATACCATTTTCGGTCAGCTCTCTGTTTTCTTCCTCTATTTTAATCAAAAAAAAAGGTGGTTGTCTACTAATATTATTAGCAACTAAGAATTCATGTCATGGAGTCCAACTTTTGCAACATTTAATTGCTCATTATACATTTTTAGCCTTCATTGCGGGTTATCCGCCTAATAATAATGTCAAAATCCTACAGTGACAACACCTTCGACCAATTTCTATTTAAATATCTTTTATTGACGTGGATTTCGTAAAGATTTTTTATGAATGAAATTTTGTATGTATACATATGTATGTATGTAAAAATCTATATACATATGCTACATATGTAATATGTATGAACTCCAAAACGCTATGCATATAAACCACTACTAATAATTAATTGCATTTTTTATGTACGTGTACAATACTTACTTACATTTTTCAATAATTAAGGCTTACATATAAAGCATGTGTGTCTTAAGCATAACAACTATTTAAATTATTGCACTTATTATATAACAAATAAATTATGCCGTGCAACTTAAATTGCTTATGTATTTTGTGAGTGCATTAGATTAATACGATTATATTGCAGCAATGTATTTGTATATATATGATTTGTTTTTGAAACTAAGCTCAAGTTGCGGCTTTACGGATGCTGTTTAGTGTTTTAGTGACGCAGTAAATGTATACTAGTTATGAAGTGAAATAAATGTGTGACGCAATATTAGCGACGCTCTCAGCGCTTCCTTTGAGTAGACATCTTTAATTATAGTGTATGAAAAAACAACTGATTCTTTCGGAAGCGTTTAGGACAGAGAAAAATTTAAAATTAATGCTACGAAGCATAGTATCACACACGATTTCATTACATACATTTCAATTTCGCGTTTTCTTTAATTTTCATTGTTTTCCAATTTTTGTTAGTGATCTTCAACAGCGACAAAAAATCTCTCTGTTCACATTTTTTTGGTAGGATTTCAATCTGACCGTCCCTCTTTTCCAATTGCTAAACATCAAAACCTACTGAAATTTGACAGTTGGCTTAGTTCAGTCGGTTTTGACATTTAACAATTGCGCTCTCATTTCCAGTAAGAGATGAGTTTGTTATCACTTTATCTCTGGTTTAGGAGTACTTTGGGTGCTTCGTCGATTGTGTTCTGATACGTTAGCGTGATGTAGATTGCAATAATGACATGCATATATATTACTTGCTGACTAATATACGTCACATGGGTCTATACTTTTACACACATACATACTTGTATATTGTTTAGTGAAATTGAATCCAAGAAACATGGCAAAATATGGATGCAATGTTGCTAAAAAATTTGAAAGCGTGTAAAAAATATATTATATTGTAAAATATATTGTAAGGCATTTATGAGCGAATGATGAAGTGAAAAAGCGAGTGCTTGTGTCATTTGAGTAAATCATTGGAAACCAGAAGACTAACCTACAAGTATTGACGCCCGAAAATTAATAAACTATACTTTTTTGAGAAAAAGAAAGTCGCTATAGTACGTCTTCCCAAATACAATATTAGCACTTATTTAAAAGCTATCGTCGAAAGTACCGGCAAGGCTATCGAACAAACTTACCAGCTGATCAAATTTGAATCGGACTGATCCATTTAAACTGTGTAAACAGAATAGATAAAAAAAATGATTTCCTAGGTTGATGCAACTTTTTTTATTTCGTATAAAGTTTGATCTGCCTATGACAATGAGAGTGTGTTTGGAGGACGCGAAAAGTTTGTTTAATGATTAACGGCTAAGTAATCATTGAAAATGTTGCAGAGGTGTTTTGAGGAGTCTACATTATCATAAACACAAATTTTTGAGTGGCACAAAGTATTCAGCGAAGGTCGTGAAGTCATCGAAAACTTGCTTCATGCGGTTCGTCCGACCAACTGTTAAGTGCGATATGAGTAACATCGAAATAGTTAAAGAAACAGTTCTCGCTCGTCGTGTTGGCATGAGAGCGATGGCAGAGGATCTCAACATCTCTTATGGATCGACCCAACTACCATATTTTGGTTAATGTTTTGTGTATGAAGGGTTTCAATGCTAAAATCGTACCAAAAGATCTGAATCTTTGCAAATATGGTATGGCATCGAATAGAGATCGCAAAAGAGCTGCTTCACAACGAAGCGAAGAACCCTACATTCATCAAACGCATCATTTCTGGTGACGAGGTGTGGATTTATGAATACGACGCCGAAACTGTCCAAAAACTTAGCGAATGGTGATCCAAAAATAAAACGAAACCGGAAAACCAAAATTCGCTGAAGGCACTGAAGACTATCACACCCGTGGATAACAAGTTTATGGAAAATTAGATCAAGCGTTGGCATGCTTGTATTGGCTCACATGCAACTTTAGCCTGCGTAAGGAAATGAAGAACTCTACCGAGGAAACGATTTAAGTGCTTCTTAATAACCATTTTACTAAATGGTAATGATTAAACCAAGAAAACATTAAATGAGAACATTTTCGATGTGCCTGATCAATATTCTCCTGACAGACCTAAGAACCTTTGCACGTTAATAACGCGAGCAGACGCCTATGTATTGAAAAAACCAAGAGGAATAACCCGCAGAAAAGAAAAAAATAGGTAAAAGGATCAAAAATTGGAAGTCGCTATAAGAATATGATTATCTCCCAAAGCAATTATTGGAAACATGTTTTAAGTTTTACAATAGCATCGGTTGTTATTTGGACATCAATTCAGTAAATGAGATTTTCGATTTTTTTATTTTCTGTTGGCTTACCTTCCCATTGTATGCAAAAAAAAAAACAAAAGGAGCATCTGGGAACTAACAAAAGAAAAACAGTCACTTTTAATAGAAGACGATCCATATTTATCGATTAATATCAGGCCGAAATTTTCGGCATACTTAAACGCCGCATTCACATAGAGATATTGTGGAACAGATCCGATCTAGTCTAACTTACCACACGTTCTATAAAATCGACATAATTGAGATTTGCAATACCCGATGAGACTACTGAACCATGAACACGGCAGTAGTTCACGTAGTATGAATTTATATCCAGCCAACGACTGTCAAATTGACAGCATTCCCCAAAACTAGTGAGGGCACGTTTTATGTCGTTAAACAAATTTTGGGAGTTCTCTTTTACCTATCTACCTTATATTAGAAAGAGTGTCATCAAGTGCCTCGAAGAGCCACGTTCTGAATTTGCAGATTTAATGACATCTCTTTCAACAATACATTTCATGTTTAAGGAGACATATCTTCGAGATAGTACTTTTCTTTGGATATTTTGACAACCACTATCTGAACGGATATCGAATCGGAATCAAGTTCTTGTATGAAAAACTTTTTAGTCTGACAAGATATCTTCACAAAATTTGGCATGTCTTTTATTTTAAGGCAATGCTACAACATCCGAACAAATTGTTCAGATCAGACCACTGTAGCATATAAGTAGCTGTTACACAAAGGGACCGATCAAAATCAAGTTCTTGTATGGACATTTTTTTATTTGTGAAGGATATTCTAGCGTCAGTAATGTTTTTGCTTGTATTTCGATTTTTTTTTTTTATTATTTTTATTTTTTTGTGCAAATATCATGTGTTCATCATTTTTTTGCAATCTATCGTCGGCTCGAAATTAGAGCGCGTAGGTAGACGACCTCCTTAACTGCAACGTATCGTTTATGTGAAAGGAGCTTAATTTTCCATAACCCTCACGTACTGCGTTGAGTGCAGCGCCCTAAAAAGCTTTTATTGGCACTCTAGATAAAGATGGAACACAGTCTTATCGGATAATGACTTTACATAGAATAAATTTATAATATTTTTTATCAAATTTGTTGTAAGTGCGCAAAAAACTTGCACTGCATCAAAAAGGGTGTTGATTTGCAAATGCGTCCCACATGCAAATGTCGACTGCGGGGTTGCGGGGACCGTTTAACGGTATATATTATTAGCAAAATTAATTTGTTAAGCTTACTTCACTTGCTATGTTCCATTAAAAATTGTTTAAAATGAATGCAAACGTTGCTTTCTTTCTTAAATATTTGTTTTCTTTTAGTTTTGTTTTTGTAAAGTTTTTTACATGCATATATTTTTTTATGATTAAATGAATAAATGAATTGTATGCTGCTATCACAATAATTTGATTACAATTAAATTTTTCATTATTAATATGATTTAAATTTAATTTTAATACGTGTTTGCAAGGTTGCATTTTATTAATATAATTGTTTTTTTTTTGTTGTTTTGCTTTCTCGTTTTACTCTATAACAAAGAGTTGTGGTATTTATCGTAATTTATATTAACTTAACTAGCACTTAAATATAATTCGTATTAAAAATAATATTATTTATTTATGTATGCGTCTGTGAGTGTTTGCGCACATACATACATGTTATCGTTAAAATATTTTATATATGTTATTATAAATAATATTCGTACTCTGTTGTGTGATGATTTGAATTTGAATATACAGCATTTATTGTAAGTAATATTCTTATCTTACACAGTGTAATGCGTACAATGATTGAACTGAATACTATTCGTAATTAATTTATGCACAATTTGTTAAGTTAATAATATTTTTTAAATTTTATTTTTAATTTTTTCCATTTTATTTTTTCAATTTTATTTTTAGAATTCTTTCGAGTTTATTTTTAATTTTTTCAATTTTATTTTTAAATTTTTTGTCTGTTTTTTTTTTTGTCAATATATGCATTTTTAACTCATTTAATATATATTTACTTCTATTTAGTATATTTTTGTATCTCTTTCTGCATTTTTATTTTCTGCTACTTTAATGTTATAAGTCTGTATGTTTGAGCGCATTTTCTCAACTTCGCTTTAGAGCGTTTGCTGATTTCGAAAACTACACAATTTGTCCTCATAAATGCATAGAAATAGTTTAGTTTTCGAAAAAAATGTACATAAATATTTGTTGATATTTTTTGTTTGCATTTTGTTGATATTTTTTGTTTGAATTAATACTTAATATTTTTTTTGAAAAAATTGAAGATACATAATTTTTTTGAAAAAAATATCTGTTTAAATCAAGAATTTAAGTATAATTCATTAATTTAACCAATATCGGTAGAAAGCATCATTTAAATATTTTAGTATGAGTTTTGCAGTTACTAACATATGCATTTGTATGAAAAATTATCTCTTTTAATATTTTTAGTAATATTTTGTTGGTTAGAATCAAGGTTGCAAACTATACATTAAAAATAGAATTGAATTAACATTTAAATAAAATTGTTTTTTTGTTTGTAATCCCGAAAATCTTCATTCAAAATAATTTTAAAATTTCTAATCCCGAAAACCGAATTGAAAAATTAAATTTTATTTTCACATACCGGATTGAAAAATAGAACAAATGTTAATCTCAAATGTATAAATAAAAATTAACAAAAAGAAAAGTTTTGAATTTACATTAAGGTTAGAAACAGGGTTGCAAATAATGCATTCAAACTAATCAAATTTAATTGACATTTACATTAATTTATTTTTATTTTGTTATTTCTAAAATTTTAATTAAAAATAGTTTTCAAATTTCTTTTCTCAAAACCGGATTAAAAAATTAAATTTTATTTTAAAATAAAATTTACAATTTTTGATCTAAAAATTCTTAATTAATAAAATCGCAACCCTGTTTAGAAGGTGAAAAAAGAGCGCAACTAACATTTTAGAATTAATTTTTTTAAAGAGTTGAGATATTTATTTATAATTTTCAGCATTTTTCAACTAAAAAATTATTTCAATAAAAATAAATTTTTATTAATTTTATTACCTAATTTTTAATAAAAAATCCATAATTTATATTGGTAATGTTAATTATATTGCGATAAAAATGTTTTACTATTATGAAATTATGGAAATGATGGATGAAACTTTTTTTGAATCTTGCAAAAAGAAAATTCGAAATATGTTAGTTATGATCTTTTTATAATAAAAATCGCCAAATACACCCATTAAATGCAACCGCATTAACTTTTTCTATTAGAGCATATTATTTTTTCAGTGTCAACACAAATTCATATTTTCTAAAAAGCTTAAAAAATAATATATTTCTCTAAATATTATCATAATTTGAAAGTTTTCATTCTTAGTTAAGATTTTCGATAAAACACCATGTCAAGTCTCGAAGAAGTCAGTCGGTATAACTTAACAATATGAAAGACTGCACATCATCTTAAGGGGTTATATCCACTTGTGAATTTCAAAAAATCGATTTTTTTTTTGCAAGTATGTACATATTGAGAATATTCTACGAAAATGTGAGATTTTTTTTAATTAGTGCAATCGGCTCCCAAAATTTTAAACGCGTTTTTCTCGAAACGAAATTTTCAGAAAAATCTTCCTCCTCGCCTGATAGCTTTTGTCGGAGGTCCTCCAAGAGATTCGGTACGTGATCAAGGGTATCCAAAGTTTTTCAAAATCAATCGCCGATTATTAAAGTACATAAGATTCTGTAAACCTATATTATTTTTATTTTTTTATTAAATGAAATACCTCTTCAAAAATAATTCACGAAAAAACGCGTTTTGTGGATATATCTTCGCAAGTGGATATAACTCCTTAATTCGCCTTAAGCTGTGCATTAACATATTGGGTATGTTCGAGTGTCAATCACTGCGGCAGTATAGCAATCATATTCGACGCAAAAATTTTACAGTACACCAAAGTAATAGCTGCGTTTCTGCAGAAAAACATAAGTGTCGTAATATTGCTGCAGTTATTTGCTTGCTCGAACATCCCCATTGTCTAAGATTTAGTTAAAAATTAGATTTTTATTTTGAATTTGAGTATAAGAAGTATTTAAATTTTGTCGAAATATTTAAATGTATTACAAATTGTGAATGCTGCAAATTTTTAATTTCAATTAAATTAAAAAAATATATATACAATGTTGTATATGTAGTTTACTTTCTTGAAAAACAATAATTTGTGTAATTAATGAAGTTTTCGAAGCTAAATCAGAGCTGATTTAGGCATAACAAAAATATATATATGTATATGTATATGTATAAATAAAGCTGTATGTTTTCTTAATTGATACAAATTTTTGTTTTTTCTTTACGAAAAATATTTTAAAATTTGTTTTAATATTAATTTTATTTTCGAAAAATATTAATTCTTTTTTTGAAAAATATTAAATTTTTTTTCGAAAAATATTTTAAAATTTTTTTTGAGAAAAAATATTTTCTAACATAAATTATAATTTTTACAGCTTCAAGTTTTCAAAAGTTTTGATAGAAAAAAGTTTAATTTATTAAATATTTCCAAGCTCATTGTTTTCTCCACTTTGGTGTATTTGGCGCGTCAAACTTCATTATTGTGTTAATATATGTTAGTTGTTAATTACTATATGTATTGTATATGTAATTTAACATGTACTTTGAAAGCCTTTTATTGTTAATTCATATTTTTACTTAAACATTTGTAGTTAATCTCAATTGCAATGATACTGACGGTTGTTTGCTATTACTATTTATGTATGGTATATTAAATATTTTTTGTTTTTGTTTTCGCAAATTGCATTTTTACAACACAAGTTTTGCAATGAAAATGTGTACACATTTATTTATGTTTGCATGTATGTATGTATGTAGATTTGGCATATTATACAATTTTTTATATTTTGTTTTTGTTTTCAATTTTAACATCTTTTGATTTGCGATATTTGAGTGCTTGCCGAAAAAATATGAATAACTTCACAAAATTGCTCAAAATTTAGTTTTCGAAATACGAAAAAGTTAAAAAATATGCATAATGAAATTCTTATTTTTTTAACATAGAGAATCGAGTGAACAAATTCGTGAATAGAAACATGAAATTAATGAATGCGATGCCAATATTTGTATGCGAGTCATATTTGCGCCAAGATCACGATTTTACGCTTTGATTTGGTAAACATTAAATTATAAAATATGTATGTATGTATGTATGTATGTACGTATCTATGTATATGTGAATATATGAAAAATGCACGCGACTGCTTGAGAAGTTTTACATTTTTCTCGCATTTAACTCAGATCAAAGTTCTCGCGTTTGCGCACAAAAGACAACTTAAAATAACACCAACGAGGCGATGTCCTTGTTTGTTTTTTTTGTAAATTTTATTACAATTATCCTCCATCACTCGCTCGTTTATTTACTTTGGCTTGGCTGGCCGGCTTTTTAAGTTGTCCTTGTGTATGTAGGTATGTATGTATGTATGTATGAAAGTTAATTGTAAATGTTGCTTAAACCAAATGAGTAATATTATTGTATTTCTATTTCTATTTTTATAATTATAATATTTCTTCTCATAATTGCTGCAGTAATTTGCTGTTGTTGTGTAAAGTCATAGTCCAACTTAATTAACTTGCCTTGGAACGCATGCGCTGTCGTCCACGTCGCGTCATCGTTGCAATTGTCATTGTTGTTGCTGTTATTGTTGTCGCATTTACTCCGCATTTCCATTACCAGTCAGTTAGTGTTTATTTCGTTTCTTCTCCGTTACATTAGTTAGACTAATAATCGTATTCGGTGGTGCTATTTTCGTGGCTGCTACTGTCACCCGGCCATTCACCTGTTTCACTTCCACCAAACGCTCGTGCCGTTTTTGCTGTTCCTCACCTTCAGCGTCCAACAAGTGTGTGTGCTCCGACTCCACAACACTGCCACCATCCTCATCGGGTCATAATCATTGCACAGTGTTGGCTACCATAGCGCTTGTTGTTGCTGTTGGTCCAGCGCTGGCTGCAGCTGCGGCCGCCGCTGCTGCTGCCGCTGTTGTTGTTGGCCGTTCGCCCACGTCTTGACAGATGGTATGCAGCTTTTCCATTTCCGATTTCGTCACTATATTAATTGAGCTGACTTTGGCGCGTTGATATGCCACCACTGTGTTTTCACCCAAACACTTGACACACACATAGCCAATAAGCACGGCAATGCCGACAGTGAGTACGCGTACAAGCGGATCAACATACAGTTGGATGACTACCCAGGCGCTGGCGCCGGCGACACACATCAGCGTGATCAGTATGATTGTCTTGGTCCAGTGCTGCATGTTGAAGCCCTTCTCCCAGTCGAGTCTGCAATTTGTAAGTGAGGATATGAGTGAAGAGATTAGTATAACCTCACGTAAGGTAAGTGTAATCAATTAATAAAAAAAGCTATATTTCTAAGTTTTGATTTAAAATTCTTAAGACTAGGCAAGACCTTAAAAAAATATGCAATTTTATAACAAAACAAGAAAAATCCTTAACTTCGTTTGAACCGAAGCTATAATATCCTTCACAAATAAAGTTTTCCATTCAAAAACTTGATTTTCATCGCTCAGCTTGTTTGGCAGCTATATGATAAAGTGGTCCGATCTTTACAGTTTGTTTGAAGATTGTAGCGTTGCCTTGGACAATAATCCATGTCCAATTTCTTGAAAATATCTTGTCAAATAAAAAAGTTTTTCATACCAGGACTTCATTTTGATCGTTCAGTTTGTATGACAGCTATATAATATAGTGGGTCGATATCGGCGGTTTCGACAAATGTGCAGCTTCTTGGGGAGAAAAGGACATGTGCAAAATCGCAGATCGATATCTCAAAAGCTGAGGTACTAGTTCGCGTATACACATCGGTTCTGGTTTTTTTTTTACTTATTTTCTGATTTTACTTTGCATAAACTTTCAATTTACTTCGGTTGTTGAATTCAAAAATTTAAAAAAAATTTTTAAAATAGACCTTATTAGCCTGAATTAGCACTATCCAAAAGTTCCTCATTAGTGTGAGTATAGTTAAAAATTATTATAATTTTATTATACTCTCGCAACCTGTTGCTACAGAGTATAATAGTTTTGTTCACCTAACGGTTGTTTGTATCACCTAAAATTAATCGAGTTAGATATAGGGTTATATATATATAAATGATCAGGATGAAGAGACGAGTTGAAATCCGGGTGACTGTCTGTCCGTCCGTCCGTCGGTCCGTGCAAGCTCTAACTTGAGTAAAAATTGAGATATCTTTATGAAACTTGGTAGACATGTTTCATGGTACCGTGAGACGGTTGTATTGCAGATGGGCGTAATCGGACCACTGCCACGCCCACAAAACGCCATTAATCAAAAACAAATAACTTGCCATAACTAAGCTCCGCAATAAGATACAAGACTGTTATTTGGTACACAGGATCACATTAGGGAGGGGCATCTGCAGTTAAATTTTTTTTTTTTAAAGTGGGCGTGGTCCCGCCTCTAATAGGTTTAATGTGCATATCTCCTAAACCGCTAATGCTATAATAACAAAATTCACTGAAAGCAAATGTTTTTAGCACTTCTATTGACGGTGTGAAAATAGTTGAAATCGGGTGGCAACTCCGCCCACTCCCCATATAACGGTACTGTTAAAAACTACTAAAAGCGCGATAAATCAAGCACTAAACACGCCAGAGACATTAAATTTTATCTCTGAGATGGTATAAGATGACTTTATAGGAACCGCGTTCAAAATTAGACAGTGGGCGTGGCACAGCCCACTTTTAGGTGAAAACCCATATCTTGAGATCTGCTTAACCGATTTCAACCAAATTCGGTGCGTAACGTTCTTTTCATTCTTCTAGTGCGAAAATGGGCGAAATCGGATTACAACCACGCCTATTTTCCATATGACACCATTTTAAATACCACTTGATTCTTTCACTTTCCACTATGCAAATCAGGCAACAATGACTGTGTCGGGTTAAAACTTTGCGTGAATAATGCGATTAAAGTATGCCACCTTGTGGCCAAAAATTGTCTAAATCGAACCAAAACTGTTTAAGCCCCTAAGTACTAAATATGTGGACGCCAGTGCCTATAGTTGACCTTCTACCGAAAATATCAGTCAATCCACAAAGAAATCTCAAACGAGTATACCATTTGACTTTGCGAGAGTATAAAATGTTCGGTTACATCCGAACTTAGCCCTTCCTTACTTGTTTTTCTTTATATTTAACTTTATATTACTTAATAAAATTGCTTACTTTTTGCTCTTCTCAATTTCATACGGGAAACCACAAACTTTACACGACAATTGCGCATCTGACGAACTACAACTCTCCACGAGCCAACGTTTGAGACACTCATGATGTACAGAACTAACATCGCCGGTGCAACGACATGGCTGTATGAGCGGTTCGGGCTTGTCACTATCATAACAAATCCAACAGTCTTTTTTCGTCAAAAACGATTGACCTTCCTCGGGTGAGAGGCTTTTGGTTTCCGCCGATGTGGTCGGTATGGATGGGTCAATTTGACGCGACAGCAATTTACGTGGATTTAAGATCCACAGCTGTTCGGGCGCCATTGAATTCCACAAGCAACAGGGGAACCAAACAGCCACACCCATCTCTACAATGCGGAAGACAATGTCATGCCAATTGCGCGAGTAAACTGGCACTCTAAAAATACAAAAAGTAGAAAATAAAGGTAAATTTAAATAATATTAAATCATTTATTTTATTTTTAATGTGTAACTCACTTTGTTTTCCAGAAATCGCCCAATGTCTCTGATGTCAGGAAGCCCACAATGACGATTAACATAATCGCCTGTGATAATAGACCCAAACGTGACTGGTGCAGTTGTGAGGCATTTACAATCGCTTCGCTGGGTCCCAGTATTTTGCCAGTCTGATCGTAAACGAAGCCGCCGCGCAATTTGAAAAACACTTCGACGCCATAAATCAAAAAGAAAACGACCACAATCAGCAAGAGTACTGCATAGCAGCCGTTGAAGATGTGCGCATAATTCTGCCGATCGGCGACAATCAACGAAGAGAATACCTCAACGCCGAATAAGCTGTAGAGGAATAAGTTAAATGCTACAAAGCCAAGAAAACTCTTCGATAGAAATTGTGACTTCTCCCAACGGATGTCGCGTAAATGGAAAATCTGCAAACCATAAAAACGGAAAGATTCGGTAAGTGACAAATATTTTGAGCAAAAGAATATTTATGCCTTGTAGGCGTATATTATTAAAACTGCATTTATTTTGAAACACAAAAAACAAAAATTTTTTTGTAATTTTTTCTTAGTAAATATTAACAATTTTTATTTTTTTTTTAATATAATTTTTTATTTTTTTTATATAATTTTTTATTTTTTTTAATATAAATTTTTATTTTTTTTTTTAATATAAATTTTTATTTTCAATATTAATTTTTGTCATAAATTAATATTTTACTTATACATATTATATTAATGTGAGCACAAATATTTTTTAAAACTCGAATCTTTAAGTGATATTTTTTGATTCGAGCTACCATCATTTTTAAGTTAAACAAATATTGAGTACTTATGTATATAAATGTTTATGTAGATTTGTTTATATTTTTTTTTGTAAATTTTAGAAAATGCACGTTCACACATTTTTCCAAAATAGTTTAAAATTAAATTGCAAACTATAAGCTAAATTCGGCAATTTTTTTATTTAAACGCGATAACATTTTAACGGTGTTTTATCATTTATTGCCTTTATAGGCAATATTTTTGTCATTAAATTACTCTTGATAGCTCATATACATATACCTACATATAAATATATATATATATATACTCATATATGTATATACAAAATCGTGTATATGAACTTGCATTTTCTGAAACATTTAGTTAATGCAACACAGAAAATTTTGCAATTTTTAAAGTTTGGTTGATATCTTATGTGATTGATTCCTATGTTGAGTATACCATAAACATGCGCTAAAAGAATTCTACTAAATTCTACTAAATGTACACTTTTTATAAGAAGGTTTAACTTGGATAAACATTTTTTCGAAATGTGTTTTGAAAAAAAAACTAGTATTTATTCTTCCGTTTGAAATGCTACATATGAAGTCGCTTTTTGAAGAAAAAAAATAAAAACAATAGTCGAGTTTTTGTATGTAAATTTCCACTCAAGGAATTACGACTTTTCGGACATTTTGTTTGGCTAGAAATCCGTGAACATTTTTACGGTAGAGTTTATTAAGGAAATAATGAATATGTTTTTATTTTTTTTAATTACAAAATTGATGAAACAAAATTTAAATTTCCTAATTCATTTAGAATTTTTTTCATTGCATCTGTTTAACATAAATTACATTTTTTTAAATTTCAAAATACGTAAGCAAACTGAGGTTTAATTTCGCAACTTTGTTGTGATTTTTTAAAAAGTTATTGCCGTTATAAACTTCTTTTACGTTTTAAATTGAAATTGTTTACTTAAATTTTTTTTTAAATTCGGTCTGAGCAGCTTTTCGAAAATTTTAAATTTCTTCCAAAAAAAGAAAATAAAGTTCCGTCTGGGCAGATATTATATATATAAAGTTTTTTTAATAGTTAAAAAATTGAACTAGTTGCGTTAGAAAATTTGATAAGAAAAATATTGACGACAAGTGAACTCATATAACTTAAATTTCTTAAATTGAAATAAGGATTTTTCAAAAAAAAAAAAAAAACATCAATTACATCATAATTTTCATAAAGCTTTTCAAACTTTTGAAAAACACAGGCTTCGGCGAATAGAATAAAAAGCTTCCAATTTTATTTAAAGTATAAATTTATTTAATCATTTTATGCAAATTAAATTAAACCATGCAAATAGCTATTTTCAAAAAAATAAGCCGTGAAGTAGCAACAACGAAATTTGTACAAAGAATCAAAGCGAAAAAGCAAAAAATACGTGGATTCTTTCTCTAGCTAGCTGGCGACACTTTTATTGGAAAATTTCTAAAAAATTTGTAACGTAATATCACCTAGGAACAATCACATAACAAATCAACTAGATTTTAAAAATTGTGTGAATTTCTGTGTTGCATCACTTAGGGGGGAGGGGACTATGTCGAAATGTCATATGTGCACAATACTATTCAAACTGTTACAGGGGTGCTTTGATTTGTCCGCTAGAAAACGCCGCCGAATGTTTATCATTTGTAATTTTTTGTTTGACACGGAATTAAGGTACAAAGTGGTCAAAAGGTTTGTTTAGGTACTATAATTTGGCGCTTACACCTCTGCTAGATGCTTGACGAAGCTTATGGTGTTATTCGACCTATCTCTAAATGTTTGATGTATTCAATGAGAAGCTTTTCCTTATTGGTAACTAACAGCAAGCAAAGTTGTAAGCGATAAATTATTGTGTTCTTTTTATAACAATGGGTACTGCTATAATTTAAAAATTTATAACAACTATATGACCAATAAGAACCACTTTTCGCAACAAACAAATATTACATATGAAAAACATATGCGGTGGGCCCTTTCTAGCGGCTCCTATTCGACTGAAAAATATAATAAAATATTAATATTTTAAAAGTTTATATATAAGGTTTAGAAATGTAAATATAGAAGTTTATAATAGATAGATAGATAATAATAAATAAATAATTTAATCAAAAATTAAATAAAAATAAAAAATGTTTTGTTAACAGTCATTAATACTCGCAAATTTCAACAACAATTAAAAATTAAAAATAAATTTATATAATAAAAGTTTTTTCCTACCACAAAAAAATGTTTTTTATTGCAATAAAAACGTTTTTTTATTCCAATTAAAATTTAATAATACGATTAAATAGAGCATATGTGAAATTTTTGTAAAGAAATGAAAATTGTTATCTCATGTAATATTTTATGATATGGTAGTTATACAGGGTTTTCCAATAAAAGTGATATAATAAAAAAAAAACACATTCATTGTTAAGAAAATTCAAATATTTTTATATAATGTGTAGTACAAATGATACAATTAAATTCAGAATATAACAACATCAAATGGCCTCCACGACTTTTTTTGCAGCAACGAATTCGATGAACCCAATTTTCGAGTTTATTTACTTCCAAAGCTTGAGGAGAGTCTGGTTTATTGCTAAAGACAAATGACTTCAAATAACCCCACAAGAAGTAGTGTGCACAGGTGGGAGAAATTGTAAACATTACTGAATACAATGAAAAAAAAACAGATCATATTAAATATTAAAAATGGCCGAAACGACACTTAGAAATCATTTCATCCCTATTGGAAAACCCGATATTTAAAAAAAAAATTTCACTTTCACGAATTAATTCAAAATTTTTTTTTTTTTTTTTAATATAAATCGCTCCAACAATATATACATTTTGATAATTATATTAAACAGCAAAAACGAATTTTTATATTATTAAATTTTTCCTTTAATTTTTATATTCGATTTGTATTGAAAATTTTGACATTATAACTTTTTTTTTATCTAAAAAAAGAATTATCATAGTATTTCCGAATTATTATTAGAACACTTATTCACAATAAATATTTATTAAATTTATTTATGTATTAAAATATTTTAATTTTTATTAACATTTTTTTTTGTTTTGTATTTTAATATTTTATTAAAAAATTTGGTGATTTACACAAACATACACACAGAAAGAAAATATTATAAATTGTTTGTTTGTACCTTTATATTTATATTATTATGATTTTTAAACCATAAAAAATTGTTCATTGATTTTAACTAAATTTCATATTCACTTAATTGAGCGCGCACTTAAATTGATGCTGAAGTCTTAACTCTACTTTTCTTTATTTCATCAGCGATAATTTTTATATTTTTTACACCATTATTTAAATTTTTTTTCAGAAGAATAAATTTAATGTAAAGACAATATATAAATTTTTTAAATTTAATTTCATTGACTTCAAAACACGCACATCCTCGCGTTTTGGCCGTTTCGTATTGAATGTTAATGAAAAATTTATTATTATGCACTTTCATAATAAGAAAAATGCGCAGATAAAAACTCATCAAAAAATGTTTACTGTTTTTGTACGTAGAAAAGAAATAACAATGGAAAAAAACTAAAAAACAAAAGTAAAAAAAAAAATACCAAAGACTTCCTTAATTAGTGCGATAATTGTACTATGTACTAAAAAAAATATAAATTAAAACAACGAATTATCAACTGAAGTCCGCTTTACGTATTTTTATACCTTTAATATGGTTCAGAGATTACAAAATACCCCTAACCCAGGTACATATAATACACAATCGAGGGCACTTGCACTCAAAGTGAACTATAGAGTTGTTGACAATTTGTAGTTGAAATTTTCAATATAATTCAATTAATTGAATATAACGAAATATACATTTAGATAACTCTACTACTAAGACGATAATTGGGGAATAAGAGTATGAAAAAATTAACTCCATGTGTAAAAAAAAGGCATTTAAAAAGTTTTGAAATTTAATATTGCTTTATAATTGGGCGTGTTACATCACATTATTTTTATAAACGCCACAGAGCGGCTAATGACCCATGAAAACTTTAGATGTGAGTAAACTGCACTTTGTAATTTATTACAGCTAGCTGTGCTGGTTTGAGGGCATAAAGTTGCGTATCACACAGTATGTTACCAACATGATTAATTTTTACTAATTAGTTAATTAGTTCTTATCGAATTATGAGGTGAAATATACAACACATGTATATTAGGATGTTCCCAAAACACAAAAAAACCATTATTGTATTAATGGGTTAAAATGTACCTATATTCAGAAAAAAAATATCGCTGCAAGGCGTGGTTATTAGCTTAAAACCAGTTGGTGAGCAAGTTAAAGTGTCAAAACTTTTAAACATACAAATTTTTGCACTGAAAAGAATTCAGATTTTTTTTTTAGGAAATTTTATGTTTTACAAGAAACCGCGAAGTAAAAAATGTTATTCTAAGCGGTTTTAAAACTATGGTAATTATAATGAAAACCGATCCGATAATTACTTTTTGAGTTATTCGACAATTAACAAAGAGCGCTTGGGAGCAGGTAGCTAGCGGCAGCTGCAAGAAACTTTCAATGCGTTTTTCTCAAAACTATTTTTTTTGAACTGGTGACAACTGCAACTCGAAAACCGCTCAGTAGATTTTAATGAAATTTATACGGCTCTCAGAATACATATTAAACTCAGGCCTGATCAAAGGATTTTTTTTTTCAAAAATTTCTAGATTTTAAGACCACTTAACTGTTGATTTTTTCCCAAAAATATAGAAAAAAAATCCTGAGGCCGCAATTTTGTTAATTTAAAAAAAAAAGCTTTGATCAGGCCCAGGAATTTTTATTAATAAAACTAATTTTTTTATCCGATTGATTTTTGATAAATCTCCAAGGACTTATGATTGTCACCGCAAGGACCTTTTTTTTGGAACTGGGTCAACACAGACAGCTATAACTTTGGAAATTAAAATTTGTTTTTGAAATTTTCGTGACTTAAAGTCAAAACATTGTATAATAATGCCATATTGCTACTTTTGTAAAATAACATTATTTAAGAGAAAAAAAAATTACTGAAAATTCTCATTTTTTCGTACCTCTGACTACCCCTAACCCCTGCCTTGCCAGGGATATTTTTTCTCTGTATAAAAGTTTATTTTAACACATAAATTCGATATTAATTTTTTTTTGGCTCACCCTAACGTAAATGCTCAAGAAGTATTTATTTTGAGAAATAGCCAGAGTGAACCTCTTAGCAAAGATAAGTTAACGTGGTGCGCTGTATTAAGATAAGGAAAAAAGGAGACAAGCAGTTATAGGCAAATGTTTTGAATCGAATCATTTAAAGTTAAGAATATTTTTAAATATTTTTTTAATCTCTTTAATTAACAATACATTAATATATATTTATATAAGCATATAAATATGAAAGTTGTAAGTTTAATACCTCATAAGCTCTTCAAAACATCATAGGTGGCGCTGTTGTGAAAAGCTTTGTAAATCAGATTCACTGAATTTTTGTCCTTCTATTTCAACACAAAAACTTAAAACATGCGAGTTGAAAATGTCACTATGAAGCGATTGAAACTAGAAAACCGTTAACTTCGTCTGCACTGAACATTTCACAGGTTGTTGGCACTCTTTTTAGGCACGTTTTTTTATATAACCGACCTTCTAGTCATATTAAGGTTAGTTAAGATTTTTATTTATGTCTTTATTTTAATTTTGATCGGTCAGTTTAAATGGCAACTATATACCATAGTGGTCCGATATCGGCTGTTCCGACAAATGAGCAGCTTTTTGGGGAGAAGAGAATGTGTGCGAAATTTCAGAACGATATCCCAAAAATAAGAAACTAGTTCGCATATATATATGTATATATACTTGTATGGGCGGACGTACATAGCTAAATCGACTCAGCTCGTCACGCTGTTCTCTTATATACCATATATAGTTTATAGGGTCTCTGAGGTTTCTTTTAGGGCAACACCCTTACTTCGTGGCAAACTTAATACACCCTGTTAAAGGTAAATATAAAAACATCACAGGCAGTGAACGAAGTTCAAATAAATACAAAACCACAGTTATCACAGGAATGTTTATTCTAAATTTGAAAAATTTATGCTGTTCGATGTAAAAGCTATTATTTTTACTATTAAAGAGACGAATGTATATAATACCTAATTTCTTGAATTAAATTTATTTACGGAAAATAATATTTTTTTTGATTAAATAGGCAAAATTCGAGGTATATGGGCTCATTAACATTTTCTTACAGGACATTGAAGACTTGAGACATTTTCCAAATAATAACACGACTCTTCCTCTTAAGAACATTAAACGAATTTCCTACAATATCGTATCGAGATTATACGTAATTTAGGACGCGATTAACTTCAGACAAATATAAAACGCCATTTACAGTGGAGCTAGTAAAACCTTCATTGACTTCGTCCTACTGAAAGGCTATCTTGGAGTCCAAACACCAACCATCACAGCTTTAGTTGCGTTTAGTTTAGTAGTGAAACCAGAATGACTTTTGCGTAATTTCGTTATGTATGTTAAAGTAGATTACAATTCTATATATACAGAATAAAACCTGGCATACTAAACCTACATATGTATATCTTGCATGGTAAGAGTCCAGCAAACTTCACCCAACATTCCTCCGTTCTCACGACAGTCGAGCCTAGGTAACCGGAACGGAGCCGGATTTTTATCCGACCAAGGACTGTCAACTCGGCACCATTCCTCGAAATTACTTCGGTAATGTTTTCTGTCACTACAAAAGCAACAATTTAACATCCCTATCCTTATGGTCCGACCCGGTCGGATCAACCTGTTTCTTCCTACTATACCCAAGTTCACTTATCGATTGTGAGGTTAGAGCTATATAAGGGCGCTACATATATTCTTATAAGCTTGAAACTCTATTCTTCCCTTTCTTCAGCTTGCCGTATTTACAGAAAATATTGCTCAACCCATCAGCCTCTTAATAAGCACTAAAAAGCGTTACTACTGGTAAGTGCTTCTACTTGGTGAGCTAAAGATCGCAAAAATTTTGCCTTGCAATATTAAATTTACTTCATATGAAGTTCATATATCTACGAGTATATACTTATGCATACATATGTACAAACTTAAGCGATTATTACTCACCTCAGCCCACATGCAAACGATGAGTGATGCGCAGGTCATTAACATCGGATAATATGCAGACATCAGTGTGACGGCCCATTGTGGCTGTAAATCCAACTGCAATTAATGAAAAATGTGACGTTTAAAACAATAACTTATTATATATTTCAGCGCGATTGCTTACCGGTGTCGTAAAGAATGCACCGCGCAGCGATGCGGCCACGAATACCAGAAAGTATAAGACCTTTTGTGTTGTAAGCCGACAGGCGCGCAGTAACGAGGGCTGTTTCAAGCGCTGATACTCCGCCACAATGCAGATGCAAAGTTGCACGACGGAAACCAAAGCGACAAAGTAGAAAACCGCCGAGATGCCGGCATAGTATGGTAAATTGAAGCCACTACACTCATCGCCGGCATAACGGATCTCACAGAGGCATGTGCCATTCAGACAGTCGCCGCGTCCCGAGCAAGTGGCAATATTGGGATCGTCATCGTTGATGTTAAAGGATAAAGCTGGTGAATTGGATCTACCAACACCGGCGGCAAAACCAGCACCAACGCCGCCGCCGCCGCCATGGCGGCCAACCAAAGGTGCTGATGATTGCAATACGCTCGAAGAGCACCGCATTAATTTGTGAAAATTGGATAGCATTCTACGTCGAACTACCTGGAAGTATAGAGAAAAAAGAAAATTTGCGTTTAAATAAAATACATTTGATTATGATATGTTTAACACATAACATAGAAGAAAAAATATTATTTAACGTTAGCAAACATTTTTATAACAACATTGATGATGTATATTGGTCAAAATGTTGGATAAAATCTCATGATGAAGACGTCATAATTAAATATTAATCATTTACATGTGTTTGCATAACGATTTAGTGTACTTTGTTCAAGTTGCAAATTTTTTTAACAAACAAAGAGGAAAAAAAAATATATATTTGGACAGAAAAAAATAATAAAAAATAGTAAAAAAGTGTACGGAAATGGAAAGGTAACAACCCCTTCTTTAACTGTAAATGTTCTCTAACTTTTTATACCCTCGACAGAATATATTAAGTTTGCCACGAAGTTTATAACATCTAAAAGGAAGCGTGCGTCAGAGACCGTATAAAGTATATACAGCGTTTACCAATAGAGATGACATGATTTTGACAGCTCGTGGTGGCCATGTTTGTTTGTGGATTTGTATCAAGTTATGTCAGTGTAATCAGTAAGGTTTGCCATTTCATTATGTAATGTTTCACTTTGGTACAATACTTGGAAATTGTTCAAAATTATTACGCAAAATCACGTTCATCGAAAAATCATCTTCTCAGATCAAGCCCATTTCTGACTTAATGGCTTCGCCAACAAACAAAATTGCAGGAAACCATTAAAAGCGAGCTATATATCGGTAACGTTGTTGACCGACTTTTTCCCCCGTAATTGATGAAATCGACGCGGACGATCTCTAATTTCAACAAGACGGTATGCCTTCTCATGTGTTTCGTTGTAACATGGACACATTGCGTGCAAAATTTGGCGACGGCTTAAGCTACTTAAAAACACAGGTATTTTGTGATGCAATGATCTCCTAAATATGTACTAAAGAGACCCTCGTAAATTGGCAATGTGCTTTGAGTCTGTAACACATTTTTGAAGTGGCTAATATTAATTCCAGGCACTTCGACAAAGCAGAAGAAAACGTATAGACTACCTCGCCTTCCTCCATACAATTTCACAATTTGCGTTCGACAAGATATTTAACTCGGCGTAAAGTTGTAATACTTCTTAAAAAAATTTTAATTTTGTTTTTAATATTCAAAAACCTCTTAAGTTCGTATCATTTTTATTTTGAATTTTTAGCTGATATCCTGCTAATGCTACTTTCCGTATAGGTATATCCAGGTTTTATGTTGAGGAATTCAGAAAAGTTTTTCAAATCGATTCAGCCTTCAAGGTATAATATCTTATACTCTACAAAGTATAGTATCTAACTTCTAATTCATAGGGGTTTTAATTAACGTTAATATTTCTTATGACTGCTACTGTATTTTCATAATGGTATCCCTTAAGAAGTTATCAAAAGCATTAAAAATGCAAGGATGACTCAAATTTATCTCCCTGTTCGATCAGACTGATCCTGTCAAACTCTTTTTGATTGATGCTTCAATATAGACTATATCTAACCTTAAAATATTTATTTTTGAAGATGATCTGGAATTTTGTTCTTATTAAACACTTTCTTGTTGATTCTGAAGAAAGCAGTAGTGCAGTATTTGACCTATTGCGGAGGGAATCGGCTTATTTATAGTTATGAAAGTCTATCACTCGATAGTTAGATCGAAATTTGAGTGTTTCCGTTATGATCTGTGGGAGCATATTTCAGAAAATGGACTTTGTTTCCGAACAACTTTGGACGGAAGAGTATTATTGGCTCTCTAATGAAACATTTTACGTAAATGACCATTAACGATATTGTTAATAGATTGTACTGAAGACCAGGAGATATATCGCAAAGCTAAGAGAAAAGTAATAACACTTTATAATTTGACCCTGTTTTAAAAAGCGATTAGTACTATGTACTTAACTTAGTATGTATAAAAAAATTAATGAAAACTAGACACAAAGAAATCAAACTAAAATGCAAATTTAAATTAGAAATTAGTGCTACACGTCGGCTTTTGTTTGCCGATAAGGTGACAAAAGTGATGATTCGGTTGACAATTGTTAGGCATTAGTAATTTTCACATATGTTGAATATGCAAACAAAACCTTTTTCGGAATCGAAACAACAATTTGTGTAGCTAAGCTCATTTAGCTACAGGGTGCGCTATGACCGTTAGTAAACAGTGAATAACTTTGGCACATATAAATCGATGGAATTGCTTAGACATGGTTTGGAAACTTCCATGCAACACAACTCCAAACTTCTCTAAATTTGAATTGCTTCAAACCGCCAGCTGACGCCAAGCTAGTGATGTTTTAAAAATTTCAATATAAGTCATTCAGTTCAAGCGATGGCGCCATGATGATTGATTGGGCCCGAGTCAACAATACTGCCTAATAACCTATGTCTTAATTTTTTTTACCTGAACAGGGTATATTAAGTTTGTCACGATGTTTGTAACAGTCCGAACGAAAAGTTGAACACCCTATAAAAATAAATACGTATATAAAACATTAGCGTGACGTGCTGAGTCTTTTTAGTCAGGTCAGACTGACTGTATATACGCGAACTACTCCCTCCTTTTTTGAGACATCAAAGTGAAAAGCTACTCATTTGTCGAAACCGCTGATATTGGAGCACTGTAGCATATAGCTGCCAGACAAAGAGCTCAGTCAAACTAAGTCCTTGTATGAAAAACTTTTTTATTTGACAACATATCTTCACGAGATTTGGCATATATTATTGTCCAAGGCAACGCTACAATATCCGAACATATTGTTCAGATCAGACCACTATAGCATACAGCTGTCATTCAAACTGAATGATTAAAATCAAGATAAATTCCTTAATATCCCTTTTCTATTTTAAAGTACGAGTATATCGACATCGCAGAGTGCTCACCCTGTATATACGCAAGTTAATGAAATAAAGTAGCGATTAAAATAGCAACGAATGCCTGTAATCAATTTTACATATATATAGATATATATTCAAATAGCCATAGAGCACTCATATATTATACTCGTGTGCATAATTACGACGAGTCAAGTGAAAATGGCAAACAATGCAAGGTATATGCAAATAAGAGTGCCCTCCAGTAGACACTACTTGATATCAGAAATGTACTATAACTAGTTGCAGCGAACATGCGCAATTGTTTATGATATATACATACATATATAGTTATATATGTATATAATGTTTCGGTTAAAGGTGTAAACAAATATTTGTTTTGAAATGGCAAGCTAATACATGATTAAAGTAAACTAAAGCCCGTCCGACTGCTCAAGAAGCAGATAACTTGTGCAAAAATAGATACCTTTCGATACCGTTATTGCAGATAATTACGACACTAGAAATTGAGGTATACAAATCGATAACAAATTGTAGATAAAAGAAAATTTATCTGTATTGCATTGTACATTTGTAGAAGATCGAGCTACGCACAACCTATATCTCCCCAATGCAACGGGTATACCATCTGATCAAATATGACTCAGACACGGACTCCTAGATGTAACCTTCTTTTATGTTCATGTGAAGTTTAATCTCTATATGTTAATTAGTCTGTGTTTGGTAGCTGTTTGTTTACGACACAAAAAGTTTGTCTGGCGATTTTTACCAAGAAAAAAATGTAACAAATTGAACGAGTTTGCCGGCTTCGAAATCGTTGAAAATGTTGCAGAAGTTTTTTGGCAACTACTTTATAACGAAAATAAGTAGTTGAGTGGCAAAAAGAATTCATTGAAAAATTGCCTCATGCAAATCGATCCCTATTAATGCCGATAATATCGAAAAAGTTAAATAAAATTCCTTAAAAATCGCCGTGTTGGCAGCAGAGGATCTCGTCACCTCTTATGGATCGACTCATGGTTATTGTATGGTTAATGTTTTGGGTATGAATCGTGACAATGCTAGACGCATACCAAAATATTAGAATATTTAGACTCTACATCCATCAAACACATCATTAATGGCGACGAGGCGTGGTTTTATGAATATGAAGTCGAAACTGTCCAACAACCTAGTGCATGGCGCTTCAAAAATGAGCCAAGACCGAAATAACCAAAATTCGCTGATCGCACTGAAGTTCATCCTAGCCGAGGCTTATAACAAATATGTGGAAAATTACGTGTTGGCTTGGGACCCTATTTTGAAGGCGATAATAAAAATTTGTATTAAAATAGGTGAAAATGTAGAACGATATTATATTCAGTCGGGGTCGAATTTGGTCAGATAATAGCGTTTCATAATATTCCTAAAAAAACTTTGATTAACTAATTACTATACTTCTTCCAAAGATAAGACAGTTGGGGTAACAAGCTAGCTGACTCACCCATTATTAATCATACTTGCAAAATACTCAACTACGGCTGTATTATCACTCAGTACCGATTTATCCCACATGCAACACTAGTTTTAAAACGCAATTTATGAAAACATATTCACTAAGTTTTATAATAAGACACATGCTATGATTCGGCGTAAAATGCAAAATATACAACACACAATATACATATATAGTTCCTGGCATGCTTTCGATAAAGCAGTGCTGTAACTTGACAGCTGTCAAATTTAGTTGCCAAATAGTAGACTATAGACTGAAGAAAAAACAAAATTGATCGTTTTAGCTTGCACAGAATATTTTTGCTATTGATAAATATATTTATACCCTGAATAGGGTATATTAAGTTCGCCACGAAATTCGCAACTCGCAGAAAGAAACTGAATCAGATACCCTATAAAGTATATATATAAATAATCAGCGTTACGAGCTGAGTCGTCCAACAATTTAGCCATGTTCGTCTGTATATACGCGAACTAGTCCCAAAGATCTAAATAAAGTTTTTGTACAGAAAACTTTTTTATTTGACTATATATCTTCATGAAATATTTTCCAAGATAACGTTACAATCGCCGATAATATTGTTTAAATCGGACCACTATATCATACAGCTGCCATAGAAACTGATCTATCAAAATGAAGATAAATATGTTTTTATACGCTATTATGCTATTTTAAGAAATTTACCAGTTAAGGGTATTATAGCTTCGCTGCAGCCGAATTTCACAATTTTTCGTATTTTAGTTCATACGCCTTATTTGGAAAGCAATTAAAGCAATAAAAGTTGGAAATAACTATCTAAAATGTCAGCGCCATTTATGCGATTTTTAATAAATTTTTTTGTCAGAATAAAAACAAATTACTGCCAAGTCAAATAAATAAACACATATTTTAGCATATATATATATATATATATTTGTATTTTTAAATACAGTTATTACTTAAATTTTCATGTAGGTCTAGAAAAAAGTAATATAATAAAAAATGCCTTCTGGTGGCACAACAGATGTGCAGAGTGCTAAACAATTTTTGTGATAAGAAAAAAATCGTACGCTATCGTCGCAATAATCATAGTATTCATTAAATTACTATCGACCGACCATTGGCCTTGTTGGCTTAGTACTTAGCACTGAACCAAACATCAGCACGACCGCTTCTATCCAATTTTTATTCTAAGTTTTTATTGACACGAGAATGTAGCTGAACTGAACTGGACCCATCCGTGTCTATTGCCGAAAAGAATGATTGATATTCTTAATGAGCACTGTTTGCCTGGTGTTTACACAATATGACGCTTGTTATGTTAGGCCAGTATTTCGATAATAATTAAAGCAAAATATAAACGAAATTTGTATGTTATGTTAAAGGCCTTATCAGAGGAGGTCAATTCGAAGGCCTTCATTAGACCGTTTTATACATAGATTTGGTTATCACTTCGAAAATCTCGGATTATCTCAAGTATATAATAGCTGTCTTTGATTCGATAGGCCATGGAAAGTAGCGAATTGAGCAAACAACTGGCATAAATCACATATCGATAATAATCGCATGGCATA